TCGAGTGGTAAAATAATGCTCAAAAAATAAGACTCAGCATAAAAAAGATATAGAATTAGAATCATACCCTCTGGAGATAGACCGTCTTAGCCCTCTCGATGTCATCTGTGCTATGTCCTGCGATCGCCCTGGCCCGCGCGGGTGTCACCAAAGACTTAAGCACCCCCATCTCATGATAACCCCGGCTGGGAGGAAACCCGAAATTAGGAAGTGAATCCTTACACTCCCCCACGTGCGACTGGAAGAACTTGGCCTAGAAACAGGAGCAACCTCAATAGGCTCGTCTGAGGGCAGGGTCTTCAATACCTCGTCCAGATCGAAGTCCATATCTATATGCACATGCCAAAACTGATTTGTCCTAAAAAGCAACAATTAAGAAATATGAGCAAGTTATAAATAATAGGAACCAACAGAAGCAACCTACCAGTAGGATGACTCATCCCCACTATCAACATGTTCCTTATGGTCAGGACCGATCCTAAGTCTGGTGCGAGAGGTGGCATATCAACCAACTGTTGGATTTGAGCTTTTAGAGTAGAGAAAGCTTCTACTTGACTATTGAAAAGGTGAATTTGAGGATGTCGTCAATCGATATTGAAAAGAAACCAACCTGCTGAAGGCTGGGTGAAGAAGAACTGAGATTTCCAACTGCAATTCGAATTCCTGAACCTAGGAAATAGCAAAGGGACCCTAGTGGTAAAAAAGACAAACGCATTGCACTGAACTAGTTCATGCATCTCAAAGACACACCTAAAGAGGTTTATGGAAAGTGGAATTCTCCTCCTAAGGCAAACATACAAGAAGTAAAATGCTTTTCTCCAAGCATTAGGGTTTATTTGACTATGAGTAAGATGAAATTCATTGAAAATCGACACAAAAAGGGATGAATGGGTAGCAAAAAGTTGCCATCCATGACGTCCTTATACACCGCTATCTCGTAGGGGGTCAAACCTGGAGAGCCTCTCTTTGGGACTGGGGGCTTTATAGACATAGTCATCGACCCGGTCATACCTAGCAAGACATTTCTCTAACTTGAGCGGGGAATTGTAAAGGCTATAACCTCTTGGAATCTCGAAAGAGACAATCTCACCAGTCGGGTCCCGCCCGATTTCTAAGTTTTGATTGGGGAGCTTGGTAGAGCCAATATGCCTCTTGGGAAAATTAGAAACAAACATTTGAGATTCGGTTGAAAAATTCCCTTTATCACAATCACGAATGGATCTATTGGATGAAGGAGGATTTGCTAGGCAACCTATCCAAGGAGTTAGAAGAACAATTGGCTCAGGGGGAGGCCGAAGGCCGGCCCGCCCGACCAGCCGGACCAGCCATGGGGATGGTAGCCGGTCGGTCGGGCCACCGATCGATCGGCCCATCGTCGGAGTCGACCGGCCCTTCCGATGAAGGTTCGATTGACTCATTACATTCCCCGTTGTCACTCTCGTTGGAGGAAGATGGATGATAGTCTTATACATTTAAAAAAAAAAAGGAGAAAGAAGAGGGTCTAAGTAAAAATCTTGGAATGAAGGAGGAGAATGTTACCTTGAAGAGGAGAAAATCTAGGATGTTGAGGATGAGTGAAAATGATTTTCAAATAAGAGACCACCCCTCCCCCTTTTTATAGGCAAAAGGGATTCAAATTTTTTGGGGGGAAAAGTCCCCCCAAGACCATGTCCATTGGTTGGGTGCTAAATGTACAGTGAAATAGCTGCTCGGACTAAATTGTACTACTCGACTTGCTCATTCGAGCTAATTTTATTTATATAAAAAAATCCAAATAAAGGAAGTTGCTACTCTGTCGAAAAAATATCGACAGGGAGTAGGGGGCTAATGATATCAGTTAACATAGGAAACCGCCTCCGAAGATAAGCAATGTAAATCATTGCACGCCAATGCGAAGCCGTCGACCTCCCGAGACGTTCTACCTCCACACGAGACTACCTATCCCCCAGGTGCTCTACCTCTACGAGAGGTCGTCGCCTTCCCCGGAGGAGGGGGGCTCTACCTTTGCGCTAGACCGTTGACCCACCATTGGCACTCTATCTCTACTCGAGGCCATCAACCCCTAGGGACGTCTACCTCTACGAGAGACCATTGACAACCCGAGGTGCTCTACCTCTACACGAGACTGTCGACCCCCTAGGGGCACTCTACCTCTACGTAAGATCACCGACCGATGTGAAATTGTCTATAGGGCCATCTCAACACTTAGCCACTAAATCTCGGATGAATTGACAAGGATACATGACATTATCTCAGACCCAACCTCCGAGCGGGAAGTTAAGATCCCCCACTCAGAACGTGGGGATGATGGGGAGGCCAACGTGGGACACGTGGCATCATTACCACCTGGCTTCAAACGCCTATAAATACTCCCGAGGCCGACACAGGTATGGATAATAGCATTTTTTTCTAGCCATCTAAATTCGTCTTCATACTTTCCAATATCATTTATTGATTATTACACTGGAGGTAAAACGGGGGAGAAAGTCTCGCCTTCATTTTTTTAGGTTACTCATGCCCAACGGAATAGTAGGAACGCCAAATGCCACCAGATAGACGAGGAGGTATTATCCCACCACCATCTCAGGGGATATGTGCATAAGGAAAGAAAATGAAAGGTGAGTGCCTCACCATCTTTGGGGTTATAAGTCTATTTATATACATGAATTTACTTCTAATCTAGCGGGGTTTTATTTGAAAATTATGAACAACAAAAAATCAGAAAATAATGAAATTAATAAGTTATTTGAAATATTCGATTTTGCAATTTATTGTAGTTCATCCAATTGATTTGAATGATGTTAATGTTCTTGAAACAAAACAGGCGGACCTCGATATTTCCGATGCAAGAGAAAAGTGAAAAGGAAAAAAGTAGCAAAATGTTGATATTATTTTAAATTGATTTCGATAGGTATACGGCCGACGGAGTAGTAGAGTATAAAGCACTATATAAATACTGTCAAATACAATTGGCATGGCAAAAGGATATCGATATCACTCATCTCAACCGTCACTACAGTAAATGTGCGGCCAAGCATGGGCTTGTTGGTAGCTCTCAAATGCAACTGCAATTTGGTAGTTTAACAATCGTTTCTACTTCTATGACACCTAATACATGAATGTAAATTGGAAGAGAAAGCTCGAACGGGAATGGTGAAGTTCGTTGCCGGTACTGGGTTGCCTCTAGCAATAGTGGACAACAAACATTTTTGTCTCCTACATGAAAGAGTATTTTTAACCGAGATATTTTGGGGTAAGTAGAAATACTAGAATAATTTGTTAATACAAAACAACAATTGATTACTGATTTGCAAAAATATGGTAGTGTTATGTCTATAACTTAGGATTTATGGAAAGTGATTAATAAAATATGTTATATAGTTGTAACTGCACACTTTAAACCCACTTTAGTATATGTATAAAAAAAATTATTGTTTTTAAAATAATTGCATTCCCTCACAACGCTAATAGTATATTTAACGCTATTATGATCATTATTAGAGAAAATCATTATGAGAGTAAAATTCGTTCTTTCTATATTTAACAATGCTGGTGTCAATAAGCCAATTATTTTGAAGTTATCTTGGGACTGCTGTCTGATTTTGGTAGTTATTTATTTTATGTTCATTGCGTGTGTCATATTCTTAATTTAATTGTATAAGATGATTTGTAATATATCAATAATGAAATTCAAAGAATTATCTATACATTAATATATATCACAATTTCACCTAGTAAAAAATGATGATGACAATATTTTAAATGAATCTGACTGGATGTTAACTTTTAAAATTAAAAAAAAAATGATAAGTTTTATGATTCTACAAATATTTGATTTAGAGTGTACTATCTTACCGGCTGTATGATACTTAAACATCTTTATATCATTTCAAGGACTTTTGATAAATATAAAAATGACATCGATTTTAGTGAAATTATATTGTTAATGGAATTAAAGTTTAGAAAATATTGGGAAGACTCGCCTATATTATTTCCTTTGATATGCATTATGAACTCGGATACAATTTATCAGATACTAAATATGTAATTAATCAAATTTCAATAGCTTTAATTTTTAACAAACATATCACTTATAGAAGATTTAGAACAAACTTTTTGAGAAATGAATGTATGAATTATATGCACAACAAATGCGTGCAAATATTAGTCAGACACTCTCTGGACTTATTCCTCCTGCTAATCTTAAAGAAGACAAAGTTAAAATACGAAGTAAATATGTTTGTTAAAAGTCCAGATTTATTCCATCAATTGACCGAAAATTTATCTTTTACCACGTTGAAAAAAAAAAAGAAAAAAAAAAGAAAAGGAAAAGCTTTACCTTCTTCCCAAATTCAGCTTACATGGCCGGCCAATGCCGCCTTCCGCTAGTTTTCAAAGGTTTGAAATTTTTGCTACAATTATCCATTTTTTTTAAAAAGCAAACTTTATAGCTATACAAGAGCAGTCGTTTTGAAGGGTTGAATCTTCAGTGGATGGTGCGTCCGTCCAATGTCAAAGTACCACCTCAACAGATGGCCCACACACCTTGAGGGTGTGTGGTGGGCCACTAGTCGAGGTGGCACACCCCAATAGGGCGATCGTACCGCCACGTGGTGCAACTGCCCTAGTGAAGATTCTCTCGTTTTGTGCTGCAACCGTTCTAATGAAGATTCTCTCGTTTTGAGGAGGGAAAAAACGTTGTACTTAATCTAATGAATTGACCTGGCTTCGACATTCTTTCAACAAAGTGGGATCGACTAGGAAACTTATTGGTATGCGACTTAAACAAATTAGAACTTAGATAGAAGCTCAAAGAAAGTAATTGGAACTCAAAATATTTATGATTAGCTCAAAACTTCGATATTTTACAAGGCTTTATGCCATATGGGTTGAAGACCGGAGACACTAGCTAAAACATGTTTGATCGCACAATATAAAAACATGTCTCTCTTTTTTAATCATATTCTAGATGCCATATATCTAAACATTTGTACAATGTTTTATTTTTGTTGTAAAACCTTCGCACGACACGTAACATCCAAGAATGCATTTTCACTGCATGGGATGGATAGACAACCTGCGGGGTAATCAAACCCGTACTCTTCCTCCGAACGCCTCAACAAATCTTGGAACAAAGGGTCTTTTAAATAGGAAATAGGAACCACAAAACGGTGCTTATTTAGTTCTCCAACATAAACTGCAAAATGTCCTTTTGGGACTTCTGCTGTCGTCGTGCCTCCTGGAAATGGCAACGTCTGATTCTGCATAGACCTCTGATTCCAAACTTTTCTAGCTTGAGAAATTATCGCTAAAAAACGAATCCCCATTTCAGCTCTAAATGAAGAAAAACCTTGAGTTATGCTATATATTGTTAGTCGATTTTGTTGCAGTGAGAGATTTGTGTATGAGAGAATTTATCAATGAAGAGTCCTTGCAATTGTGGATGAGTGTAAAGTCTTAGTGATGGCGTATTATTTATAGGGACTGCAGGTTAGGCTATCATTCCATGTGGTTAGTTTAAAGATGAAGGCATAAAATACCAGAAATAGAAACATCGAATTTAATACAATTCCCTTTTGCAATAAAAAACCAGTTTGAAATAACGGTATACCAATCAGATTTCAATACCGTATTTGGAAGCTGCAGGAAACCAGTGCCGCGCCCAATGTTTTTCATTGTGGGCTGATTTTAGTATCATTGATTTTTGTGTCTGCATGTATACATAATTCTTAATAGCCCATACAAATAAGGCATTTCCTTTGAAGTACATGCCAAGAAATCAATAAGGTCCCGTTTGATTGTAAAGATAGAATTGAATTGAATTAAAAACGAATTTCAGGGAATTGAATTGCCTAGAAATTGTTTTCCTGGAAATTATAAATTATTGTATTTGATTGATATAATTTTTTACGTGGAAATTGTTGAAATAAAAGTGTCTTTTGAGGTTCCTTTGACTTTATTTTTCATGAAAATAGTCAATTAAATGAATATATTTTACTGGTATTAGGAATTAAATTTGTTTCATTGCAAAAAAATAATAAAAAAAATTTAAAGAAAATCATTTATCTTTTGGTGTTCGTTTGGCTTTGTTTTAAATGGAAATAGTCAATTAAAGAGATGAAATTTATTACAATAATTTTTAAAATTTGTTTCAATTGCAAAATAAAAAAAATACGTCAAAAGGTGGAATTTCAATTCTCACCCTTTTGGCCATGTTTGATAGACTTGTATTTTCCATGGAACCGAGAATTGAAATTCCAACATTTGGTGGAATTTGCTTATGTGACAACAAAAGATGGAAAAGGAATTTCATGTCAAATTTGTGCCATCAAACACATAAAAGATGAAAAATAGAATTTATTTTCCATTTTCCATGAAAAATACAAGTCTATCAAACATGGACTAAGTGTTATCCAAATGATTACATACCAATGGTATTATTCTATCCCAATAACGTCTGATGTCAATATGGTGCATGGTTTCAACTTGTGCCCTCGTCCAATTATTAATGCTCATAATCTTTCTTTTAATTTTCTTTTACCTTTTGCGTTGAATGTCACATGGCCATTAGAGCATTATTTCTACTTTGAGCATGTACTAATCAATGACTTCTTGAACGTAGCTGGGTAATTTCGGCTACTCTATATAATTAATTTTCTCAATAGATACGCATTGTTTTGACAAACAATTGCCAAATGCTTTATTAAATTAACTTACTCGAGACTCCTTGATTTCCAACGTACATAATGATTTGATAAATCTATAAAGAATTTTTTTGACGCATTTGATTAAGCTCGAAACTGGAGCCTAGTCATAAATTTGGATAGGGAATAAAAATATATCGCTTTTTTTTTATGTGCTCGCTACGGTATGTTTCGTTGTTTTAAACGAACATTTGCTTATAAGTAACTTTCATAGATACGTATGAAGTTCGCAACTAGAAATATCTATGTTCGACTCTACTCAAGAGAAATATTCTCATATAATTAATTGATATCCGTCATCATCACAATTGAATATTTCAATTACCTTATTATTTAAATTAAAAAGGATAAGTATTGGTGAAGTCAAAGTACTAGTGCTTAAATTCATCCAAGTTTGTCCAATATTTGCTTATTTTAGTTTAGTTAATGCTATGTTTAATTGAGACCATTACTAGATATAAATTTACTACTTGTCCAAGATACCATTTATTTGCAGGTTCCAATCGAAAAAGCACACTTCACACTAATTATTTTCCCAAATTATGGATATAAAGTTTTATATTTCTCCTTTTGTATTCTTTTGTTCAGATGTAGATTTGGTAAGGCAAGTTAATAAAATTATGTTCTTTTTCTTTTTAAATATTTGTATATATATAGGTCATATTTGAGCCACATTCTTTGAAAAAATACATTATTAAATAGTGATTTGACATTATTTTAACCACACATTTTTCTATAAAATAATATTACACGTAAATCCAAAATTTTTCCTTATTTTTTAACCACACATTTTTTCATCAATACACTATTCAAAAATGCATTCTTAAGAAAATAATGTGGCTCAAACAAGGTTATAATAAAATTGTATGGTACATTTTAGGAACAAGCCATTAGAAATTTTTATTAATGAACTTCTATTTATTTTTTATTTATGAGAAAAGAGAAAAATTCAAGTAATAAAACCCCAAGGAGAAATAAAACAAAGCAACAATTAATTGCTAAAAAGAACCAATCACTAAGTTAATAGTAAATTTTAAGTCTTAAGAAATATGTGAATAAAAAGAATATCCGATCAACTTATCAAAAAGTAAAGCTATGCCAAACATTAATTTATCATTGGCTTACAACTCCCACTCCCATATATTATTTGTCAGCTTTAGCTCTACAACTAGAATGCAAAAAGACTCATCCAGTGAATTAACTAGACAGTCTTTCCTCAAAGTGGGAGCAAATTGGAATTTTCTTATACTAAGCTAAAACAAGTTAGAACTTAACTAGAAGCTCAGAATAAATAATTGCAACATAAATTATTTATAATTTGATAAAAAAAAATGCTACATTTTACAAGGTTTTACCTCAAATGGGGCAAAAGAGGAGACATGGATAAACATCTCAAACGTCTCTATCGTAAATCAAGGACTAGAATATGTTGGACTAAACAAGAGACAAACATGTCTAATATCTATTCCTCAATCTTTGTCTATAGAGAATGAACCTACCTAATTAACATGCTGTTACACATCTTATAACAAAGTTCCAAATCATCTCCACATGACAACCAGCTAGCAAGCCAAAAAGGCCCACAATCAACATCATCCTCCTACCTGGCCAAAGTAAGGTCACATGTAAGGTAGCCGAGGTGATACTTCATTTCCGTTGAGCTTCCATGTAAAGGCTGACCTCTATGGCCCAAGCGAGGTACTATACATGCCACGGGAAAGGAGTTTGAGGCAATCAGCCTCACTAACAAGAGATATCTCCTACTTCACATCTTCCTTCAAGAGATCTTCCATACAAAATTCTATTGCGATTGATTGATATGACGTCTTTACAATAGAGTCTAAAAAGTCAAATCATTAGTCTACTATCTGGAAATCAAACCTAAGTTCTAGGGTGACAACTTTTTAGAAACATTAAATGCGACCCAGTCTTATGATGTATGGATTGACACCTAAAGATAACTCCTTGACCATTAGGATGAGGTCATGTATCTTTTCATCCAATGGTAATTATACATTTTCTACTATAAAAGCTCATATTTAATGTCATTTGGTGGTAATGCAACTTTAGACTCTTAAAGTTATAAGTTTGCTCTTAATATATTCACTTCATACCCTCCATGATCCAATCTCTTTACGCTTAGTGACTTACTTCTTTAGCATGTCCCACACTCATACTCTTATACATTGACCAACTTGATCGTCGGAGTGCACGTGACCACCTCCCTCACTAATGAAAAAGGTCATGTGCGATTTACGATTTGTCCAAATGTGTAGAATAATGCTTACATGAAAGTGAAATGAGTCAGAATCTATTGGCCCCATTCCCATTACAATAAACGAGGTCAACACATGCTATAAACATTGTACAAGGTTTTACTTTTGTTGCAAAGACTTCATATGACAAATAATATCCAAGAATACTTTTTCACTGCATGGAATTGACGAGTGTATTTTACTTACAAGTTTAAGCCAATTTTAATATGATTGTAAGCAAGATCTTACGAGTATTGAACGTTTTTAATGTGTTTGTTAATATTGTTTTATAGAATTATCGAGGTGGTGAAAAACACAAAAAAGATCATCAAATGAAGTTAGTGGCATGAATTGAAAAGAAATTGTGAATTAAGGCGCAAAAAAGACAAGCAAAATTGTTGGATGAGTAGCGCCTAGGCACCGAAACTGTGGCGCCAAGGTGCCAAAAAAAGGGAAGAAATAGAGTGTGGACATCGCTGCGCCATATTCAGAGCCCTATTATTGAGCTTTGGTTTCGCGATGCCAGGTTCATGGCATTGCGGTAGCGCCAAAGGCGATAGAAAGCCGCCACCCCAATACAAACCGCAATGCTACGGTGCCTCCTAAAGGCAGAACTAGGACGCAATTTCGACCCATTTTAAACTCCAAATGAAAACCCTACTTTCTATAGACGGTAAGGCGCTTATAAATATACATTTCTCACACTTTTGAAGGGGATTCATATATTCAGAAGCAAGAAACACTATTGGAGAATCAAAGGAGGAATTCAAGGGATGAAATCATTGAGAAATTCATCATGTGAAGTATCAATTGGAAGAGGAAGAATATTTTGGTGCAAGATCTATTTTTTTCTTCTACATTTTTAATACAAAATCCAATGATGTTTTTCTTCTTTCGTTATAAATAGTTGTAACGCTCTGACCCCTTGTGGACCGGAACATTACTTACTTTATTTAACTAACCGGTGGTTTAGTCATAGGAGAATATGTTTTAGCGGAAGCTTAATTTTTACAATGATAATTTTAACAACCTTTCGAATACTTTAAATAAAACACTGAATAAAAAAATGGAACGTAATTTATTTGAAGAAAACACAACTTGTTCTTGCGTTCAGCGTTATTCAAATACTTTAAAAAAATAATATTGAAAACGTTCACAAAAATAAATTTAAATAACTTGTTCACCGGATTTTTCCATGGGCTCGTTGCACCACTATCCATCTTTTCTATCATCCAGGCTCAAGGTAGAATCATATCAATCTGTAGAGAAGGGTTAAACTCATGAGTTAAAAAAACTCAATAGATATCATTGGTGCATTCGTGATCAAACTATACATTTCAAAGCTGTAACTTTAGAAACCTTTTCATAGTAGGATTTTCGGTAGAATCCCAAACACATAGAGTCATGACTTAATACGACGCCTCGACCGAAAGTACATGCCGTACCCAGAGGTACCATTAGACATGGAGGTGTATGTCGTAGCGGAGGTACCATTAGACATACAAACATTAACATAAATCTTCATTTGCTAGAAACTTATAACTTAACACGAATTAACACTTTGCACATCTACCTATCTTGATTGATACTTTGAACCTTGTTGAAAAATGCAATCCTTTGATGTTTCAAAAAAACACTCCGTTGAGAATTGATGCTTGGAAAACACTTCTAGAAAACACCAAAATTTCTAGGAAAAACTAATTTTCCTCCCTCTCCT